TTCTTTTTGGTATTTTTAAATATAAATTTACTTATATCTATAGAAAAATGAGAACATAAATGTGTTATTACAATCTTTGCTGGAAAAGCTTATATGGAGTTAGAAAGAATAAACCATTTATTAGTAGTTAACATATATTAAAATGGTTTAATGATTTAAGAAAATATAAAAAAAATATTAATACTGTCAAACTTTCATACCAGAAAATATCATGGATTTTTTAATTAGACTTTTTCAAACATGAAATATGAAAAATTTAAATAAGTTTTATATAAAGAACTTTCTGCAACCTCAATTATACAGTGGGATATGTCTATTCTATATAGATGTATTTATTATTTCTCAATTTAAGCACCATTCAATTCTGGATCCATTCTGGCTGGAAAATATCCCTAAATCCACAAGATGTTATTTACTTAATGGCACATTAACTGAAAATGTTATTTTTTTTTTAAAGAAAACACTAATTCTTGTCTACATCTCAAATTGGTTTGTTTTCTGAGCCAGCTCACAGATGTTACTGCAGTTTCAAGTGCAGGTGTCTCTGTGCAGCCCAGTGACTGAGTTTGCCACCCCAAGGATGGAACAGTGCCTCCGGCCATGTGTGGAAGGTCTGAGGGCAGCAGGTGCAGCTGTGTGCCCCGGACATCAGCCAGCTGGCTCCTCTCCCGCACCCTCAGCAATGGACCTCCGACAACAGTTTCACAATCCTGCTTTCATGAACCTGGTGAGGGCTACATCCCCCTGGTAGAAAAGGCTGCCCACCCACAGAATGTCCAGGTGATTGCTTCTGATCACATATATTCCCTACCTTACCCATTTCATGTAAGTTTAAATATAGTGTTGAGCAAACCTCCAGTCTGTGTATCTGTTATCTTAAAATATTAAATGCATTTTAGGCAGATGTCTTAACTAAAAACTTATATAAACAATAGCTATGAAATCCGTGATTGGTGTGGTCACCACTCAATGTGTTAAGGAGGGAAAAGGAGAAGCTTTTAAAAGAATGGTCAGTTTTGCTCTCAGCCTTTGGGGCCTGACACCTTCCCAAAACACAACAGGATTAGCAGCCTTAGAACTGTATTTCTCAAAGTGTAGCTTCTAGCCACCTGTATCAGAATCACCTGAGGTGCTTAGTTAAACATACTTAGTTATCCAGCATTCCCCTGAATATCAGAAATCTCCATCTTCAGCTGATTCTCCAGGGGTCTGCTGCCTTCAAAGTTTGAGAAACCAGGCTATAAAGGCTCGGAGCTGCCAATACCCCTGTTGCCAAGGAACCCTCCTTGGGACGGGGTGCACTGGTCCTCTGCGGGCTGGTATAGCTAGTCGGCCCTAGGGTGGGGACACTGGCCCCAACAGCTCTGGGCAGGCAGGCAGGCAGGCTGGCTCTGCATCAGTACTGGGGCAAGTAGGCCGGCCTGCGCTCAGCCTTCCCAGGGAAGGCCTTGAAGCCCTTGGGTGCCGCCTTGTGTGCTGGTGGGGGTGGGGGCTGCGGCGGAGTCTGCATGTAGGTGAAGGAGGTGGCATTGCAGTCGTTGGTTGCAGCCCACACAGGGGACTGCAGCATCTGCATGGTGTCGTTCCACTGGCTGCCCAGGCTGGTGACTGCATAGAGTGGTGCACTTGGGCTGGGCAGTGTGCTGGGGAGCGGAGAAGGGTGCTGCCAGGGTGCTTTGGGTGGCCATGTTTTGGTTTTGTTATCCTGAGAGACAGAAGAGAATTCTTAGCGGCATTTCTGGTGATTTATCATCTTTTCCCTCCTCCCCAGATCTCTGGCCTTTCTTTCTACCTACCAGGCAGGGTGTGAGCCCCAGCCCTTCCCAAGGCCTTAAGCATTAGAACTTCTTACAATGGCAGTAGTGTTCTATGCCTTCACTGCCCAGTACAGAAGCCTCCAGCCATATATCCAAGAAATAGTGAAAGCAGCTGTGGAACTGAATAAACAGCTGCATGTGGCAAGTCGCTATTATACCAGACAGTACCACCCTAGAGCTTCTTCTACATCTGGCTGAGCCAGCTGAGGTAGCTAATCATTTAGACAAAATCATGAGAAAAAGTGGTTCAGCACAAAGAACCCTCATGACTTAAGAGGTCCTCCTAAAACCAAAGCTCTGGAACTCTGCCCCTGGGCCAGCTGCCAATACCTGGTTCATGTCCTCCACTGTAGTAAGTAGAGGTGGAGAAGGCAGTGTGCTGGTGTCTTGCTCTCCACTGCTGTGTTTCCTGAAAGAACCAAGAACTCAGAACAGTAGTTGCCCGGCTGCTTCTCCAGTTGAGCTCTGGGGGACATCCTAGCTGCTTGTCTGATGTCTCAGGGCCCAGTTCTATGTGAGGCCTTGGGTCCATCATGCTCAGGGGTAAGGAGGTCAGCACTGAATGGTGTGTGCCTCTGCTGCCAGCACATGCAGGTGGGTGGGATGGAGCAGGGGAGGCAGGCATAATGAAGGGCACTGGCTTTTATCATCTGCTCTCTGAGACTACCAGCTTTGGCTTTTGTTAACTTGTTCAGTAGACCCTGAGTGTTCAGCAAACTGAACCCTGAATGAGAAAGGCAGGATGCGGGTCAGGGCCAATGCTCCCCTGTGCACATGGCAGTCTCTGCAGAGGTGGCTCCAGGGGTGATTTCTAGATGTCTAACCAGACACAGGTCTAAATCCCCAGCAGGCTCCAGTCTCAGTTCACAGCAGTGCTGCATGCCGCCACAGGGGCCTAGCACACGCCTTAGCACCCTTACTTCTTTGCCTTCACCTCTACCAGCCATTCCCTTACTTCAGTCAGCCCCCTTTCTTTAGAGGCCTCCCAGCCACCCTTCTCAAAGGAGAAAAATCCACACGATCCTACATTTTCAACCCTCACACTCTGATTTATTTTTTTTTCATAACACCTAACCCAAACTAATACTTTGTAAAATCTGCCTTCCCTCACTCAACTATAATTTCCATGATGAAGGAAAGGAACTTTTTGTTTGCGGCTGTATCACTAAGGCCTAGCATATAATAGATGCTGATGTATGAAAGAAGAATGAATGAATAAATGAACACATTTTACTTTGAGCTCCAGTTTCCACATCTGTAAATTTTGGACAGAACAGTACTTATACAGTGACTATTACAGGCTGTGCTATGTCCTCTATCAATTCATATGTTGAAGTTCTAAGCTCTTGTGCCCTACAATGTGACTGCATTTAGAGATAGAGCCTTAAAGAGGTAATTAAGTTAAAATGAAGCATTTGGCTGGGGATTTAGCTCAGTGGTTCTACCACCTGCTCAAGGACCAGAGTTTTAATCCCCGGTACAAATAAATGAATGAATGAATGAATGAGGCACGAGAGTGCCAGGGATTTAGCTCAGTGGCACTGTACCTGCCTTTCAAGCACAAGGTCCTGAGTTTGATCCCTATTACTGGGGAGGGGGCAACACATGGCTGGACCCAAAAACAGTAAAATGAGACATTACGTTGGGCCCTGATCCAGTCTGATTTATAGGAAGACACAGACATACTTAAGGGAGACAGAGGAAGAAGCTGGTGAAGAAGCTAGCTATCACCACCCTGAGGTGGTGAGACAGGCTTTCAGCACCTTTCCAGGAGGAGGGCCTAAGAAGAAACTGACACTGCCAATATCTTGATCTTAGATTTCTAGTGTATAGAGATATGAGAAAATAAATATTTGTTGCTAATGTCATCTAGTCTGTGGTACTTTGTTACAGCCGAGATACCTAACAAATGAACACAGGGACAGTGAGAATTAAATGAGGAAATCCATGCAAGGTGGTAACTCAAGCCCTGGCCTACAGAGAGTACCCTAATTTGTCATCATGGTCAGCATTACTGACATTATTCTATGTATCCTCACCCTTCCTCTTCATCTTTGTGCTCCTCAGGAGCACCCACTGAAGCCTGGTCCCTCACACAGGGGCCCTGGAACCTGGCCTCCCTTTCCACTCCACAGCATGACCTCTCTCGCCTTGGTGCCCTGCATGCTTTTATATTCTGCCCATGCCCCTTAGTCTTCAACTGTTTTTTTGAGCTGGGATTAAACCCAGGGCCTTCACACTGAGCTGTATCTGCAGCCTTTTTTTTTTTTTTTAAAGACAGGGTCTCCCTATATAGTTCAGACTGCCCTTAAACTCACTATGTAGCCCAGGTTGGCCTCAAATTCTTAGCAATCCTCTTGCCGCAGTCTCCCAAGTGCTGGCATTATAGGTGTGTGCCATCATGCCTGGGTGTTTTGTTTTGTTTTCAGACACAGTCTTGCTAAGTCACTGAGTTGCCCAGCTGGACTTGGACTTGAAACTCTCTTTCCTCAGCCTCCCAGATTGCTGGGATTACAGGCATGAGTCACCATGCCTGGCTTCTCCACTGCTTTTTAATCAAATTTGCCTCTTTATTTCAAGGCCCCTGTAATTTTTATCACTATTTTTGCAACTATCTTAGATCTGAACATGTGATACTACTTTTTCAACTATGAATACCATTCAGAGGTCATTTTACCTAGTAACCTCTTTGACAGAGAAACTGTGTCAGAGAGGGCCAGGCCCTTGCCTGTAATTGCAGAGGTTTTTGGTGAGTCTAGGTTAGACATTATCCTGGCCCTGCTTCTCCCACAGAAAAGGCTGTCTCCTATAAGAAAGAGACCACCACCGAATAGACCTTGTCTCTCGAGTCCTCTTAAATTCAAGTATGATGGGCTTACTCATGTTGGTATTTTTGTCTACCATGAACCTGTTCTGCCAGTAAGAACTCAACCTCATTAAGTCACTTGGCCTATGAGCCTGTGTGGTAGCCCTTCAGAGGCCTCACTAGACCAGGCCCCTTCTTGTAGAATTACCTACTGAAGGTGCTCTCTAGAGGCCCTCTGCCAGATAGTGCTAGAAGAGTCCTTCTACCTCTCTCACAAGGCAGCCTGACAGCACTGGGATTCCTAACTTCCTCAGAGGAATATGCTTTGGGTCATTCTCCTCTCTTTGGTTTAGAGATCTCATCCTACCTTCTCTGCTTGACAGCAGCAACGAGGTCAGGCCCGGAAAACATGGAGAACAAGCTGTCCCCATTGGCTGAAGATGTCTCATCACTGGAGGTGGCTGAGTCTCCCTGAGCGCCTGACCAGCCGCCATGCAGGCTGTCCCTAGAAGCCAAAGAGAAGCTGGTTCCCAGCCTCTGGCAGCCAACCTGTACACTGGCTGAACAGCCGAGGCAGCATCTCCCTCCACCCAGCCCTAAAGGAGCAGTCCTTACCCTGCACTTGTCTCCTATCGAAAACTTATAGTTTTCTTCCTTTCTCATATTTCAAAAGTAATACATAATTCAGTACCTCTTTTTCTTTTATTCCACACAGAAGCCTCTGGCTTGTATGGAAAGTTTATTTTAGAGAAAAAACTTGAACGCTCTTTTGGCATCCAGATTTAGCAGCAGGGTAACAACATGGACTGTGAGAAATCCCCTTATTTTTGTGATCAAAATCCACAGTTCTTTCAATAGACTGGAATCTGAATTTATATCTATATGTAAAAATTTATATTATATAAATATGTAAATTATACATAGGTATATATATAAACCAGGGGTCAGAGTTTTTATGACCGTAGGCTATCAAGTTGTATGATGTGCCCCTATGTATACACCACTGATATGAATTCATGATTTAAAACAAACTTTTCTATCCAAGACAAAGATCTTATTGGATGGTGTCTGTAATATAATTGGTTATTAAACATCATCTTTATACTGCAGTGAGCATGAGTGGATCCCACGTGAATTATGAATGCTATCATTGTATCCTACAAGAAGCAAGGGTGGGACTGGGGCATGGCTCAGTGGCAGAGCACTTGCCTGACATGTGCAAGGCCCTGGGTTCCATCCCCAGCACACCACTACCGCCGCCACCACAAAAAAAATGCCAAGTATGGTGGTGTCTAATATAATAATATAATCTCAGCTACTATGGAGGCTCAGATTATAATTAATTATATAACTGTATATATGTATGTGTGTATGTGTGTGTATATCTCTCTCTCTATATATATCTCCTTGTGTCACTCTCTCATGGGGGACTTGGAACTGAACTGGTGACCAGAGTACCAAAGGTCAATGAGACTCCCTTCTCACACACCCCATTTGGGACACCCACACCCCAAACTTAGGTTTCCTGCTGTACCCAGCACTTACCCTTCTGTGAAGAACTCTGGGAAAGGCCAGGTCCGGTGGGCATCATCCATGGGTGGCCAGTTGCCCCGGGGGTTGGCTGGGCGGCGACTGTGCTGGGTTTGCCGCTTCTGCTGCATTGCCTGGCTCACACCCGCCACGTAGCGTACAAATTCTGGGTCTGAGCCCACTGTGTTGAGACAAAGGAACAAACAGGATTTGGGGCCTAACTGGTCTCTCGGTTCCTTCCACAGCCAGTGAGGATGTAGCCACACACAATGGAAAGTGGGAAGGAGCTGCCACGTTGTACCCCCAAGAGTTGGCTGCAAGCTATGTCTGGTAGGGGTGAGGTAGGACTTTCAGCACACAGCTCTGAATGTGAGGATGGTGTATACAGGGACTGTCAGAAAGAGCTATGCTTAGAAAAAAGGCAGGCTGAATGGGAAAAGCAGAAAGAAAGGAGGGCTGGGGATTTAGCTCAGCGGGTCCGCTGCCTGCCTTGCAAGTGCAAGGACCCAACCGAGATTGATCCCTGTACAAAAAAAAAAAAAAAAAAAAAAAAAAAAAAAAAAAAAAAAAAAAGAAAAAAGAAAAAAAAGAAAGGAAAAAAATTGATTTTATCTATGACCACATTTTATTTAAAAATTTTTTTGAGATGGGATCGCACTGTGTATCTGAGATTGACCTGGAACTCATAATGTAGCCCAGGCTGGTCATGAACTCACAGTGATCCTCCTGCCTCAGCCTCCCGAGTGCTAGGATTACAGGTGTGCGCCACCATGCCCAACACTCTATTAGTACATTTTAAAGACAAATGTAAGCCTAACAACTTAAGAAATCAGATGACAGAGCCGGGCAGCTCCATGAGGTTTCCTGAAAGAAGCTAACATGTCTTTCTGTTAATAGTTAATGCTAGGGTGTTTTAGTGAGGAATCTTTCTCTGGTGGCTATTTACTTGGACAAATATTTGCTATGCTTATTTATAGTATGTCTTGGTATTCCCCCTATGGAAGGAATAAATTTACATACCTATATAGTATGTACTTATCATATGCTCTTAATAATTTAGAAGGTTGTTTTTGGAGCGGGGAGTTGCTTTTTTAGTTCTATTACCAGCAAAGAGATGTGCTTTTTAGGGGATGGATGGCTGGGGATTAGATTTAGGGCCTTCCTTGGGCAGGGATTAGCTCAATGGCCTGCACCTGCCTCAAAAGTGCAAGGTCCTAGCCGGGTGTGGTGGCGCACACCTGTAATGCCAACACTCGGGAGGCTGAGGCAGGAGGATCGCTGGGAGTTGAGACCAGCCTGGGCTACACAGTAAGTTCAAGGTCAGACTCAACTACATAGTGAGACACTGTCTCAAAAAAACAAAGCAAAACAAAACAAAAAAAAGTGCAAGGTCCTCAGTTTGATCCCTGATACTGAAAAGAAAAAAAGAAAAATTCAGGGCCTTCCAACTGAGATACATCCCCAGCCCTTTTCAAAATTTTTTCATTTTGAAGGTGGGGGATTTAGCTCAGTGATGCTGCTGCCTGCCTCAAAAGTACAAGGTCCTTAGTTTGATCCTTAGTTTTCATTTTGAGACAGGGTCTAAATCACTAAATTGTCCAGGATAAGCTCAAATACTGAACCTCCTGCCTCTGCCTCCCACAGTGCTGAAATTACTGGTGTGTACCACTTTGCCTAGTGAAATATACTTTTGTTAATCTATCATTTTCCAGAGCTTGTATAGCTTTTTTTTTTTTTTAGCTTATTTTGTTTTTGTCTTGCTGCATTTGCTAGAAATTCTATAACAAAGTTACATATTACTGGTTATAACAATTAACCCTGACTGTTTTTGGTTTTGGTACTGGGGATTGAACTTGGGTCCTTGTGCTTGCAAGGCAGGCAGCAGAACCACTGAGCTAAATCCCCAGTCCTAACCCTGATTGTTTAATGACTTTTTATTTTTGGTACTGGGGATCTATCTTGGGTCCTTGTGCTTGTGGGGCAGGTGGTGGTACCACTGAGCTAAATCCCCGGCCCTGTTTACTGATTTTTTATTGAAATGATTTTTGTTTCATTATGTAAGATATCACTTGCTACTGGCTTTTGGTAGACAATCTTTTTTCCTTTTCTTTTTTCTTTTGGTACCAAAGATCGAACTCAGGACCTTTGTGCTTCCGAGGTAGGTGGTGGCACCAATGAGCTAAATCCCTGGCCCTAGACAATCTTTTTTCTATATTCAAGAAATTTCTATGAGGCGTGGTAGCACATGTCTAATCTCAGCACTCAGGAAGCTGAGGCAGGAGGATCACTGGGAGTTTGAGGCCAGCATGAACTCCTAGGGAGACCCTGCCTCCAAAAAACCCCCCAAAATTTTCTTCTATTCATATTTTACTTTGAGGAGCTTACAGGCTAGTCTTGAACTCACAGGGATACTCCTGTAGCCTCCCAAGTGCTAGGATTACAGGCGTGTGCTACCACGCCTGGCCTGAGGAGCTTGCTTTTATTTTGCTTAAAAATTACTAGCGTCTTTTATAAAAATTTTTATAGCAGCTTTTTTTTTTTTTTGGTGGGGGGGGGTACCAGGGATTGAACTCCGGTCCTTGTGCTTTCAAGGCAGATGGCATAACCACTGAGTTAAATCCCTGGCTCATAGCATCTATTGATAAGATTAGTTTTTCTTATTTCATTGGTTGATATACAGTACTGGATTATTGTGTAATAGCAGAGCTCCTTATAGGAACCATTCTTACACCCCTGAAATAAAACTTTTAGCAGAAGTTATGCTTTGAAACACTGCTAGATTTTCTTGCATCTATCCATATTCACCATATTCATAAATGAGACTCACTACAGTTTGTTTTTTTTTCTTTGTTCCTGGAGATCAAACTCTGGTCCTTGCATTTCTGAGGGAGGTGACAGAACCATTGAGCTAAAACCCCCTCCTTCACACTTTGCTATTTAAAATAATCATAAGCCGGGTGTGGTGGCACACGCCTATAATCCCAGCACTCAGGGAGGCTGAGGCAGGAGGACTGCTGTGAGTTCGAGACCAGCCTGGGCTACATAGTTCCAGGTCAGTCTCAACTACATAGTGAGACCCTGTCTCCAAAAAAAAAAAAAAATCATAAAGTTGATCCCTCTACTTTAGCCTCCCTGAATGCTGAGGTTACAGGTGTGCGCCACCATGCCCGGCTAATCATAAAGTTTTTATGGTAAAGTTATATTGTCTTCATAAAGGTGATTTAGGATATTGTTTCCCTCTTTCTGGAGTTTAAATAACTTGGATTCATCTGTGCCTTAAAACTTGGAAAAAAGTTGCCTATGAATCCACTGCTCCTGGTATCATTTCAACATTGCCTTACCTAAGAAAATAATATACATACATTGTCATATATCCCCTCCCCCAGGTATGAACCCAGAGCCTTTGCATTAAGCTATATACCCAGTCCTGGGGATTAAACTCTGGATCTTGTGCTTGTGAGGCAGGTGTAGCACCACTGAGCTAAATCCCTGGCCCCATTTTTAAATTTTTTGTTTTGAGACAAGGTCTTGCTAAATTGCCCAGGCTGAGGTTGAACTTGATTTTCCTGCCTCACCCTCTTGGAGTGCTAGGATTACATGTAAGCACCACCATGCCTGGTTATATTTTTCTTTGTAACATAATTTGGTTTTATCCTTATTTTAGCTTTGTATCTAAGTTCTTTCTCTAATTTGTTAGCGTGAATCTAATGGTAGTTTCTTGCTGTCTCAGCCAGGAGAAGCTCCATTTTATGGAGGCAGGTCAGTGCTCTACCATCTCTTTTTTTTTTGGTACCAAGGATCGAACTCGGGACCTTGCGCTTGAGAGGCAGGTGGCAGAACCACTGAGCTAAATCACCAGCCCGGTGCGCTACCATCTTGAGATCCCCCCCCAGTACTGGGGACTGAACTCAAGACCTTGAGCTTGCGAGCCAGGCATGGTGCCACTGAGCTAAATCTGCAGCCCTTTACCATCTTAAATAGTACTAGAGTTTAGGAGGAAAGAGCACAACAAGATCAAGTTGTATGATCAGGGAAAAAGTCACATATGAAGGGCCATCTGCCTTGGCTCCTAGAAGCAGGAGGGCCTAGATTGATATCCATTTAAACTATAGGATTATGAGCCATTCAAGTAACTTCTCTTAGCCTCAATCCTCTATAATGTCCTATATAATGTGAAACATAGTTGCAATTACCTTTTCCATCTCTTATTCACTGTTTTTCGTTTTGGAGGTGGGTACCAGGGATTGAATTTGGGACTTTGAGCTTGCTAGGCAGGTGAATGCTTTTCCCTCTTGCTAGATCTGGCTTGCACTTGTCTCTCACACAGCAAGAAAGGGTCAAGGGGCCAGGGATTTAACTCAGTGGTGTTACCGCCTGACTCATAAGCACAACGTCCTGAGTTCGAACCCCAGTACTAAAACAAACAAACAAACAAAAACCCCAAACAAACAAAAAAAGAAAAGGTCTTAAAGGGGGATTAAATTATTTTACCATGATAAATAACGGTGTCACAGACAGGGCTTAAGAAGCCCCCCCCAATTTTGAGACAGGTTCTTGCTATATATTTCACACTGACCTTGAACTTGTGGCAATCCTGCCTCAGCCTCCTAAGTGCTGGGGTTCCAGGGATGCGCCACCTCACCCAGTCAGAGAAGTCCTACATTTTATGTTCAAATGGGGTAGAAGTGGGGAGGCCTCACATACCTGCAGGATCAAAAGGTAGAATCTCTCCCAACATTCCAAAGACTCCATCGCCTTGGTCTCGATTTGGCCAGGTGTTATTTCTAGGTCCCTGTGGCTTCTGTCCCAAAACCTCCGACATCACATTATCCATATAGCTGCTCACTAGACCCAAGCTGTACAAGTCAGAACTGAGATCAGATATGCCAGGCCACTGAGCAAGAGGAGACAGACTTGCTCCCATGGGCTGTGCTGGCTGTGTGGCTGAGCCATGCACCCATTTTCCAGGTGCACGAGGCTGAGATGGGGGCTGCTGTGGCCCAATGGGTTGCAATAGGTGTTGGTAGTATTGGACCTGGGGATGCTGTTGCTTTGGGGACTGTTGCTGAGGTGCAAGACCCGCCTGGGGTGTCAGAGGTGTGTGTACCCCAGTCTGTGTTGGTCGTGGTGGAGGGGGCACTGGCAGTGATGGCTGCTGTGGCTGCATAGCTCCTGCCTTCTGCTCAGTCACCATGGCTGTGGCAGCAGAATTACGCCTTGTCACCAATGGGGAGCCCTGATGCGACTGGCCCATGTTAAAACCTGAGAGAAAATCTATCACCTCCTGCATTTCCTGATCAGTCGGTAAGTTCATACCCTTCTCATCCTTGCCATCATCCCCATGCAGGAAGGTCTCACACCGCTCCAGGAGAAAACCATTGGCCATTAGATTGCTTGAATTCTGAGCCGACTGTGAAGGATCTGTAGTCCTAGGGAAATTACCAATGTTCAAAATGCTTTGTAACCGGGTGTCGATATTACCGGGCATTTTGGCCTTTTCTTCTGAACACCCAGCTATGAAGACATTTTTGGAAGGGGTATTTGGGATAGAATAATTTGTGCTGCTGCTAGAGCTGGTACATGATGCTTTCTTGGTGAACCGGGATGTCAGTTTGGAGAATGTCTTCTGGAGGCCACCTGAAGATTTATTTCCATTTCCAGAAGGCAGGTCAGCCTGATTCCCAAAGTCACAGATCTCCCTTTGAAGCTGGATCTGTATGCAAGGTAAAGCTTGTTCCCTATTTAAACAAGACAAAAACAAAAACATGAAATTTACATAATGGAGAATGAAATGGACCTTTTTGCATATAAGGCAGACTGTGATGCCTAGCATGAGGTTCACTATTCAGGATCACACACAAAGATTTTAACAAGAAAGACCCCTCTGGTTGATATCAGGTTTACTTATTTTTAGATAAATAAATGAACACTCAAGGGGTTTCAGTGTATATAATCTATAGCCTCTAACACAGGGCTGAGAAGTAGTAACACTTGGTAGCAAAGAAAAGCAAAGCATGACTTGATCAAGAGATGCAACTGGCAGATCCTGGCTCTGTGCCTTCAGGTCAGGAACCAAGAGACAGGCAGATCAAGAGCAGTGGACAAATCTACACAGTCAAGGGTGGTGTGGGGAGGACTCAGGGCACTGCACTCGTGTTGTTGAATGGATGGCTGTTACTTCCAAAGATCTCTGAGAGCTCTCTTCCTGTGCTACAAGAGAACACTAAAGATAGGGGCAGGAGCTCAGGCAGGTGATGGGTGGTGTAACTGTACAGATCGTGTCACTGCTATCAACCTTTGTGTCCTCAAGAGTTAAGAAATGGAGTGGTAGGGCCAGGTATTTAGTTCAGTGGTTCTGCCACCTGCCTTCCAAGTGCAAAGGTCCTGAGTTAGATCCCCGGCACCAAAAACAAACAAAGAAATAAAACAACAAAGAAACAGCGGTGGGCTGGAGATTTAGCTCCGTGGTGCTGCACCTGCCTCGCAAGTGCAAGGTCCTGAGTTCTATCCCCCATATCAGAAAAAAGAAAACAGAGAGGAGGCATAGCCAGATATTTCAAATTTTTATCAGTTTCAAAATTAACAGTTCCTAGAGATAACCTCGCAGCTGTCAGCTACTTTTGGATATAATTAAATTTCATGAAGTATATAAGTAAATTTTCTAAACATTTTTCTGCTCTTAGTTCATAAGGAGATTATTAATTGGGTGCAAAGTTCTCTTGGATTTACTCTCATTATAAAAACCAATGAGTTCAAAGTGTGTACAAACTGGGGAATCTGAATAAGTGGCAAAGAGCAATTCTTTGTTCTGTTTTTTCAGCTGTTCCATTTTGAATTTACCTCAAAATAAAAAGTTACTAAGGTTCTCAGATAAAGAAACAGAAATGGCAAATAAATATAGGAAAAATGTTCAACATCACTGGTCATTCGAGAGATGCAGATGAAAACATTGCTGAGATTCTATCTCACCCCAGAAAGAATGGCTGCTATCATAAAGTCAACCAATAACAAACTGCTGGCGGGGCCATGGGGAAAAAGAAACTCTTCTCCAGGGTGGGTGGGAGTGCAGACTGGTGCAACCACTGTGGAAATCAGTATGGGGACACCTCAGAGAAGTAGGACTAGAGGTCCCATTTGACCCAGCTATTCCCCTGCTGGATATCTTCCTAAAAGAATTAAAAGAATCATACCACAGTGATATATGCACACCCGTTTATAGCAGCTGTTTGTAATAGCTAAAACTTGTAAACAGGCCAATTGCCCATAAACTGGAGACTGCATAAAGAAAATGTGTTTTTTTCTTTAATAAAATGGAGTACTACTCAGCCACAAAGAATGAGAAATTAGAGGTATTTATAATTAAAGAGATGCAAATTGAGGTCATAATCTTAAGTGAAATAAATAGGACACAAATGTATAAATACTGAATAGCTTTTCTAGTGTGAGAAACTAAAAGTATAAATAAGGATCAAAATGTATAATAGATAATGCGAAATAGGAAGAAAAGTTGCAAAGGGAAAGTGGAAGTGGGAGCGGTAGGGAAATAGAATTATATGAGAAAATGAAAAAATGGAAACAAAGTTTTTGTAAAGAGGGAGGGGTGGAAAGGTTGAAGGGAGGGCAGGGGAAACGGAAAAAAATAATCAAGATATATTGTGTAAAGGTACAAATCTCCACTGACGAATGTCATTATATTGTAATGTCATTATATTAACTGAAAAAATATTAAATTAAAAATACTATTAATATTATTAAATTTAAAAATACTATTAATTTTTAAAAAAGTTACTGAGGGCCAGGGATTTAGCTCAGTGGCATCAAGCCTGTCTTGCAAGCACAAAGTCCTGAGTTCAATCCCCAGTACTAGGAAAAACAAAAAGTTACTGAAGAATTCTCTTTTTGCCTATTTACCCACACACTAACAGTGACATGCACACACTTAAGATGGTATGAGGTCACATCATTGCTGGGTGTGGACCCAAATGCAGATCTCTAGCACAGACAATTCAAGTGACTGGTGGGGACACCAACCTCCCTGCTCTCCAGCGGTTTAGGTCCAGTACAGCTGTGTAGAGCACATCTACCAGACCCAGAGTCTTCTCAGGATCCAGGCTTCTCTGCAGGAGCGACATGGTGGCAGGGTCTTCTTTCAGGCACCTAAGCACAAAATAGGCTGCATTAATTTTGGTGGCACTTCTCTGTGAACAGGTTTCACGCAAGTTTCATGGAAAAGACTACAACCCTTACAAACTTTCAGCATCCAGGAATTATAAGAACATTTAGAGAATGACAGGGCTTACACTGGAACTCACTGCTCTGCAAAAAGTAGAAGAAACAATAGCACATGGGGTCTTGTGACAGTAAGAAAAATAAAATAATACTTCCAGTGGGGCTATGTCCTGAAAAGCCCACTATAAAAAGAAAACACTGTAAGTAAAAAATGCATTTTTTACATATCTGACCTAAAAAAAAAAATCACACCTTTTTGTCAAACCTACCTTAATTATGCTCAGAACACATGAATAGCCTACTACTAGACAAAATCATCTAACACAAGCCCATTTTATGTTGAATGTCTTATGTAATTTACTGTATGCTATATGGAAAGTGAAAAACAATGGTTGTGTGAACAAATTTTCATACTATTGTAAAGTTGAAAAACTACTAAATTGAATCATAATGTCAAAGACCATCTGCAAAAATTTAGTTTCTGTCTCCAACTCCTGACACACAACTCCTAAAACCCTGTAACTTCCTGGGTGAAAAGAGCAGCTTTTGTTCTGATACTTGGTCTTTGACCCCAGTCCCTGACATAGATCCCAAATCCCTTGGAATTTTCTGTGTCTTCTGGTCTTCTATACTAGTGAAATCACTTTTTTTTTTTTTTTTTGGTACCGGGCATCTAACTCGGGAACTTGCACTTGCAAGGCATGCGGCAGAACCACTGAGCTAAATCCCTGGCCTGTGAAATCACTTTTGATAGGCTTCTGAATATCTTCAGGATGAGGGTAAGTCACCAGAAAGTCCAAGCCATCATGAAAAGCTTGGGACTTTCAGCTCTTCCCCAACTCCCTGGAGAGGGAAGTGGGCAAAGCTCTAGACTGTCTAATCATGCCTACACAGCTACCATAAACTACCATGAAAATCCTTAAACTCGGGTTTGGAGAGGTGCTCAGAGAAGGGCATCCTCAGGGAGGGCAGGGTGGCTGTGCACTTTTTCCCATACCTGTTGCCCAGTATACCTCTTCATCTGGCTGATCCTCTGTAACTGCTGTAATATCCTTTACGAGAAGCCAATAAAAGTAAGCAAATGTGCCTCTGAGTTCTGTGAGCCTTTATAGCAAGTTATCAAACCCGAAGAAGGGTTATGGGAACACTCAATTTACAGTTAGTTGGTCAGCACATGTGACAACTGAGGCTACAGCCTGGGGTCTGAAGTAGGATGGGAGTCTTGTGGGGCTGAGCCCTCAGCTTCTGTACTCTGTGCCAACTCAGGGTAATGAGTGTCAGAATGAACATGTAGGACACCCAGGTTGTCAGCTGTAGGAAACGTACACACTTAAGTGTCACAAGTGTGTGCATAAAGGACTTTGTAGGCCTCCATGGACTCCTTTTTATGTTGAGTCTGTTTAGGAGGAAGAGAAGAACTCAGCAAAGGGGCTGCCTTCAGGGGCCCTAATGTCTTCCTACTGTGCAACACCCAGTTCAGCCCCGAATTTCCTCTGCGCGCTGCTCTGATTCTATGGTCTCGCACAAAACCTACTCCTCTATGAACTCTTTTCTGCAAAGCTCCCGCCCCTCTCTTCCTCTAAAGCTCTTCATGCCTATTATTAAGAAGGTGATGGGCCGGGGATTTAGCTTAGTGGTTCCACCGCTTGCCTTGCAAGTGCAGGGACCCGTTGATCTCCGGTACTAAAAACACACACACACACACACACACACACACACACACACACACACACAAGCTGCCACACGAGGTGGCGCACACCTGTAATCCCAGCACTCGGGAGGCTGAGGCAGGAGGATTGCTGTGAGTTCGAAACCAGCCTGGGCTACATAGTGAGTTCCAGGTCAGTCTCAACTACATAGTGAGACCTGTCTCAAAAAATCAAAAAACCAACCTCCCCCCAAAGAAAGTCAGAGTCAATGAAGGAAAAAGGAAAAACATCCTCACAGTCTGCCATCTGCACTCACTGTGAATTTCAGACAAGCAACAAACATGGCCTCTTTATAAATTAACTTTATCCCACTTCAGATGAATATTCCTGCTAGGCAAGGCAGTCAATGTCTGGAATCCCAGAACTCTGGGAAGCTAAAGCACAAAGATCCCTCGTTCAAGCTCAGACTGGGCAACTTAGCGAGCCTGTCTCAGAAAGAAAAAAATAAAATGGGCTGGGTATGGAGCTCAGTGCTAAGATGATGGGTTCAATCTTCAGTACTGCCAAAAAAAAAAAAGACTATTTCACACCTTTTTCTCCCCAATGCAATGACGTGCCTATCACCTCTTCCATTCTTTCCTACCTCAACTCTCAATAACTAAGAAAATACATGCAATCAGATGAGAGCTACTTCATTTTCATTTTCCACTAATTCCACCAGTTCACCTGCCTCTGTGTCTACACCCCCCGCCCCCGTATTAACACAGACACTCTGTTGCTACAGACTGGCGCCTACGTGAGTGCTGCAGTGTGTCCTCTTGCCTTCCCAAGGATCACAGAATGAGCCTGTGTCTCACTGAGTGACACTACTTTGGCAAAGAAATCAGTGCCCTCAACCACCGCTTCAGACCTCCAATCCATTCCAAGTCCTTCTACTTCACTCCCTCTGTTAGCAAACAGGCTCCTCTTCTTCCTTTGCTCCCTTTGCTCCCTTTGGACTGGACTTTTATCATCTAACTCCACTAAAACAGCTTTTTATTTGTTCCTTTTCAACTTTCTCCTCACTCCTAAGATAAGATCGTGCTATGTTGCTCACATTGGTTTTAAACTCCTGGACACAAGTGATTCTCCTGCCTCACTCACCCAAGTATTGGGACTACCCACATGCAGCACAGTGTCTGCCTTAAAGTAGCTTTTTAAAATATAACTTAGATCTTGCCAATTTAACCTCTCAGTGACATTTTGCATGCTTCTTCCTCCCAGAAGTACTATCTTGCTTAGCTCCATTTTCCTCCTACCTCACTAGCAGGCTCCTTTTGGGTCTGCCCTGATGACCTCCCCTACTTCTCTACTCCTTCAGCATTTCCGTATGGCAAAATTCTCCAGACCTTTCTCCTCTTTCCCTAGAGTCTTTATTGATCATCCCTAGACTTTCTTCCTAAACTACAACCTCACAGACACTGCTGCATGCCTGACATCGTTCTTGTACAGCTGATGGGCACCTCCAAGGTAACCTCACTAACAGCACAACTCCTGAATTCTCTCCCTGACCAAACAAACAACTCAAAAACAAAACAAAAAAACCTACAAACTTCTCTAATACATAAATAACACAAGCATCTATTCCATAGTCTATGAATCATTTCTAGTTTCCTTACATCCCCATCTAATCCGCCAACAAATCCTGAGAACTCATCTTCTAAAACATTCTGAATCCAGACACTTCTCACTTCTTCTCTTAATACCACTCTATTCCAGGAATCTAAAACAGAAATTAGCTCCCATTTTGTCTCTTTCTACTCCTATTCCTCCAAACCCTTCACACAGCAGCCAGAGTAAGCATCCTATAATGCAAATAGGATCACACCACCCCTGCTTTAAACACTCCAATGGCATCTCATCATGACAGAAATGAAATCTAAATCCCTTACCAGGGCCATAAAGTCCTGTGTCACCTGGCCCCTCTACCTTATTCCTAAGGTTTTCTCTTGTTCTCTGAGTGAGCTTGCTCACATCTGAGGACCTTTTGCCTGGACTGTTTTTCCTCGCGATCTTGGTATGGTCTGCTGCTTGTCATTACTCAGGTCTACACTGTCCTTTCAGGGCACCTCCACAAGTGACCTTTTCTGAGAGAAAGAACTGTCAGAAAAACAGTCCACCAGGAATGTGCTGTCTGTCAGCTCCTGGGCATGCGGGGAGTTACCATGGAAATGAGGCTTATGAAGCTGCCCTGAGGAAGCAGCAGTACTCCCCAACAGGTCGTGCCTCAAGAAGATCTATCTGTGAGGATGAGAGTGGCCAGCCTCTGTAGCCCGGTAAAAGGTGTGCAACAAGGCAAGCATTGCCAGTTCTCAACTAGATTCCTAGGGGAGAATAATTTTTTTTTCGGTACCAGGGATCGAACTTGGGACCTTGTGCTTGTGAGGCAGGCAGTGGCACTATTGAGCTAAATCCCTGGGCCCGTAGAATTCCCTCAACCTGGACACACATGCTCTATGCTCCCAAGCTGAGTGCAGTGATTTGGCTTATCACTGTGATTTTGTCCACTAGGAGATTATGTGCTGGTCATGCAGATGTGAGTAATCCAGCTCCAAGTGGTAATAATTTCTTTTTCTAAAAAATCAACAAAGCAGCATTTTTACATTCATCAATCTTGCAAACTGATAAAATGCCCTTAAGAGACAATCTAAGCTGGGTATGGCAGTGAACAATTGTGATCCCAAATTTGGAGAGGCTGAGGCACTAGAATTACAAGTGCAAGCTTAGCCTGGGCAACTTGAGAGACTTAGCTAGACCTTGTCTAAAAACAAGAAAATAAAAAAGGGCTGAGGATGTAGCTCTGAGTGAAGGCCCTGTGTTTAATTCCTAGTACCAGAAAAACAAGAACAAAAAGGGGACTAAACCATCCCCTTTACCAATTAAGATTTGCTTAAAATCCTCTACCTATACTTAAAATAAAAATCCAATCCCTCAAGGTCCTGAAAATCTTGACTTCTACAATCCGCTCATCATCATCACCATCCTAACCATGCCAGTTTATCCTGCAGGCCTTTGCATTTGCTGTTCCTTCTGCCTGGAATCCTTTATCCATCTGTTCTCAGCAGGGCCAGCTCCTCTCAAATCAAATATCACATCCTTAAATTAAATATCACAACATTTCTGAGTGACCTCACCATCTGAAATAGTCTCCCCTTCTACTCTACCTTATTTTCAATCATATGTCACTGTCCTCGAACACCCTTCATTCATTTGCTAGCCCTTGAACTCACCTCTTTAGCTTATTAGCCATTTCCTCCCTTCCCCATTAAAAAGTCAGCTCTATTAGAGGCAGAGACCCTGTCTATCTTGCCCATTATTATTATTATTATTTGTACTGGGGATCAAACTCAGGTCATCAGGTCCTTGTACTTATAAGGCAGGAGGTGGCACCACCAAGCTAAATCCCTGGCCATGTCTTGCTCATTAACGCCCCAGAGCCCAGAGCAGTGCAGAGTACAAAGCAGTTAAGTTTCTTTCTTTCTTTCTTTCTTTTTTTTTTGGACCAGGGATTGAACTCAGAATCCTCAGCTTGTGAGGTAGGTGGCAGAAACACTGAGCTAAATCCCTGGTCCTTAGTGAATGTTGTTGAAAGAAACAATGGATGATAGTTAAAAAAAAAAAAGTTTAAACTGGTAAGGTAGGAACTGTTTGGAAAAAATACAGTATTATTGGGCAGCTGGACATTATTGGTGGTAGTGCTCTGGATTAAACCCAGGGCTACATGCATGCTAGGCAAGCACTCTGCCACTGAGCTACATCCCTAGTCTGTATATAATAAAATATTTTTTTTTTCAGACAGGGTCTCACCATATAGTTGAGTGTGACCTAGAACTATGTAGCCCAGGCTGGTATTGAACTCACAGAGAACCTCCTGCCTCAGCCTCCTGAGTGCTGGGATTACAGGCATGTGCCAACATGCCCGGGTGCATATAATAAACTCTTGACTTGCTTTGGTAACAATATTTTTCCAAAGATGGTTAGATTAAGCAATCATTCCTGTTTGTCTTTTATTTTTTGGTACTGGGGATTGAACTCAGGATCTTACGTTTGTGAGGCAGTCAGTGGCACCGCTGAGCTAAATCTGTCAAAAATACTGTATTTGAAATATGAGATACTTCTGGTCTCAGTCAATTCACATGAGAGATACTCAAACTATTATTTCAAAGAAAAAATCCCCCCCAAAAGAAACCCCAAAACACCCTTAAGATTTTGCATCATTACCAAAGGCAGACACCAGAGGGAGCCACAGCAAGGAATCACTCCGGTTTTTTCTTGGAAAAAGGAAACCGACTATACAAGGAGAGTTTTGTAAGACAAACCATTTTAGTACTAGCTGTTTATATTCATCCAAACATATAAAATTTCAGTCTGTTTTCATCAGAATGAGAATCCTAATAAAGCTGAGTATTTTTCAGTAAGAATTTGAACTGAATTGGAAAATCAGAAATTTGGGAACTCAAAATCTTACAAAAAATGATCTTTTAAATTTACTGTTTGATAGAAATGAAGGTATGTATATAAATTACCAATAATTTCAGACAGTATAACACTTCAACAATCAAAGCAAAACTTTGAGCAAGGTGTGGTGTGGTATATAGGCCTAGAACTTGGAAGGATGAGGGAGAAGGATCAAAATTTGAGGAACTGTGAGTTCAAGGTCAGCTAGATTTACATAGCTTTGTTTTTGTTTTTTTAGAAAGGAGGTTTTGGGACATAAAATGAATTGATAACTTTATATATTAAAAAGGTTTTAAACTCTTCTGTCTAAATCTACCACTGTTTCAAGAATAAATGGTTTAAAAAAAGAAAAAGAATAAATGGTTTAGGGGGCTGGGAATTCAGCTCAGTGGTTCCACTGCCTGCCTTGTAACATCCTGAGTTCGATCCCCAGTACCAAAAAAGAATAAATGGTTTAGGACTGGGATTGTAGCTCAGAGCACCTGACTAACAACCTATGTAAGGCCTTTGGTTCAACCTGAAAGCTAAGCACAGTAGTGCACACCTATAATCCTAGCACTGGGAAGCTGAGGGTGAAGGGTCACAAGTTCAAGCGCACCTAGGCAACTCAGAAACTTAGTGAGACTTTGTCTCAAAATACAACATAAAAAAGGACTGTGGCTGGTGTGAAGGCTCTGAGTTCAATTCCCAGTACTGTACTGAAAACAAACATGTATGCATTACCCAACCACTTCAGTGCACACAAGGACCAACAATAGTGTCTTTGTTTCTTGTTACTTCTTCCTATTTAAGAAATTTAAACATTTTTTTCTATAGTTAAATATGCATCCAGATCACAATTTTAATAGCAAAAATTTACATTGTAAAACATTTGCTATGTGCTATTAATAAAACTCTGTACACACTGTATAGCAAATCTATATGTATACCGGAAGAACAAATCCTTTGAGTTAGAATTGTGTGGCTGCCTTGATCATATCTTTATTTTAGGATTCTGATATAGTAAACTATTCCTCCAAAAAGGATGTGTAATTTATTCTCTGTTCAACAACCTTTGCCTCTTTGGGCTTCTACTACAGCCTAAACCAGTACTGCCAAATTATTTAGCATTGTTATTCTAAAATATTTAACATTTTCAGCAAAATGCCGTCAACTTTATTTTCCTTTCATCTTTAGGAAAGGTTACATATTTTCTTAAAATATCTGTTGATCACAAGAATTTTGTTTCCCCACTGTATTTAGGGCCTCCGCAATGAGTTATATCCCCAGCCCTTTAAAAAAAGTTAATTAACTGCAGTACTGGGGACCAAATTCAGTACTTGGCTTGCGTCAGATGCAGCGCCACTGAGCTATATCCCCAGCCTTTTTAAGACAAGATCTCAAAAAATTGCTAAGTTTCCCAGACTGGACTCAAAACTTATCCTCTTGCTTCAGACTCACTGCTGGGATTACAGGGATTTGCCACCATGCCCAGATGTTACTATTATTATTATTGTTTTTTTGGTACCGGGGATGAAACTTGGGACCTTGTGCTTGTGAGGCAGGCAGTGGAACCACTGAACTAAATCCCTGGCCCCAGCCCTAACTTTTTGAGACAAGATCTCACTGTATTGTTTGGGCCGGCCCTGCACTCTCAATCTTCCCTCCTTGGCTTCCTGAGTAGCTGGCTCACAGGTGTGTGCCACTGTGCATGGTAACCATTACGCCTTCCTTCTATCTGGTCACAGCCCTTGCCTGGTTTCTACTGACTTGTAGGGGCCTTTTTTTTTTTGCCCTTCAGTACTGGGGACTGAACCCAGAAGCACTCTGCCACTGAGTTACATTCCCCAGCTCTTTTTTGAAAACACTCCTCAGTGGGCTGGGGGTTTAGTTCAGTGGTGCCATACCTGCCTCACAAGCGCAATGTCCTGAGTTCAATTCCCAGTACCATAAAAACAAACAAAATCCCTCAATTTTTTTTTTTTTTTTTTTTAGTTTTTTGAGACAGGGTCTTGCTATGTAGTCCAAGCTGGCCCTGAACTCATAATCCTCTTCTTCCAGCCTCTCAACTGCTGCGATTATAATGTATTCAAACATTCATGGTTTATTTGGTGAGAAGGATTGAATCTAGGGCTTTCACAATGAAGTATATCCCAGCCCACCGCCCACCTCCTTTTTTGAGACAGGGTCTCACTATGTAGTTGAGTGAGACTGACCTAGAACTCACTATGTAGCCCAGGCTGGTCTTGAACTCACAGCAATCCTCCTGTCTCAGCTTCCTGAGTGCTGGGATTACAGGCGTGTGCCACCATGCCCAGCCTCCCCAGCCCTTTTAATTTTCTTTTCTTTTTTTGTGTGTGGTACCAAGGATCACACTCAGGACCTTGCACATCAAGGCAGGTGCGGTGCCACTGAGCTAAATCCTCTGCTCAATTAAAAAAAAAATCTTTTTATTTTTATTTTTCAGTACTAGGGATCAACCTATGCCCTTTGCACTGAGCTACACCCCCAACCTCACCCCTCCTTTTTTAAATTCTGAAGCAGGGTCTTGTTAAATTGCTAAATTACCCTGGCTAGGGTTGAATTTGCAATCCTCCTGCCTCAATCACCCAAAATGCTGGGATTATAGGTGTGTACTTTCATTACTCCCAGCCTTATTTTTTATCTTGAGACAGGGTTTTGCTAAACTGACTTGGCTAGCCTGAACTTGCCATCCTCCTGCTTCAGCCTCCTAATTAGCTGGAATTACAAATGTGTGCCACTATACCTGGCATAGGAACTTAAAAAAAAAAAAAGTAGTACATTAAGAATAATAGGGCCAGGGCCGAGGATTTAGCTCAGCGGTGCTACCGCCTGCCTTGCAAGCACAAGGTCCTGAGTTCAATCCCTGGTACCAAAAAAAAAAAAAAAAAAAAAAAAAAAAGTATGTAGCTCAGCGGTTCTGCACCTGCCTGACAAGTGCAAGTTCTTGAGTTTAATTCCCAGTACTGGAAAAAAGAATAATCCTTTGTAAGTGTTACACATATAATTAAAAAAGGTTGTGTTTATCCCCAGATGTGCAGTGACACTGGGTATGTGATAACATGAACTTGAGAGCATCAGGCTTGTGGCTGGGATAGACAGAGGAGGAATTCTGTTTTCTATTGTGCTTTAGAGAAGTAATGGCTGAGAAAGAGAAAATTGTACACTAAGAGAAATGACATACTGTATTAAGTTTAGAAGCTGTGGACTAAGTAACAAAGAAAAGATAATGCTGCTCATTATAGTCCAAGACTACTGACACTTTAGTTACATTATGGCAGTGAGACTATCTTTCAGGCATCTTGGCCTCCTTATCCTAAACCAACCTATGGCACATGTGCCACAATGGTTTGTCATTACTAAAAGCTCTAAAAGGTTTGCCATCACTGTCCTAGGCCAATAATCAAAACATATGCTGATAACATACCACTAATGCCCATAAACCTGCACATGTAGCAATATCTGTTGTGCCAATCAGCACAGGGTCTGTTCAAAACAAAGTAATCGTTCAAAGGTGAGCAAATGTCAATCAGCTTAGGCTTCTGGTAATGTAAAAGTCAAGTTACCATGTGGATGGGACTTGAACCACGATTCTGGAGCCTTCTAAACTGATTTGGGGGGCGTAGGCTTCTTTATTTTCAATCTGTGCTGTGTCAACCACCACCTAAGAGAGAAATAAGAACAGCCACCAGCTTTCAGAAAGGAAAATGGATCACAAACTTATCCAATGCATAAGCCTGTCAGCAGTGCTGAATGACTGGCCAGAACTATTTCCCTGGCAGTGCAGTTATAACAAGGCCAGTTAGGCTCCCAGGTAGACAATAGCAGGTAATGAATACAAAAACAATTAAACAAAAACCAGTTTTAGGACGTGGAATTTTTTTGAATTTTCTAAGCACCTCTAGCACTTTTCCACACCATGAATGTTAATCAGGAATTATTCTTTCTTTTATCTTAGTATTTTTTAATTTTCTGTATTTGAAAGAAGTAAAAATGTCATTAAATTAAAGCTTCAGAAAAACCCATCTGTAATGACTAGATATAAGCCAGAAGTTCGATAAAACTTTTAAAAAAATTATTTCACTCTCAGCCAGGCATGGTAGTGCATGCCTGTAATCCCAGCACTTGGAAGGCTGAGGCAAGAGGATAGCTGAGTTTGAGGCCAGCCTGGGCTATATAACGAGTTCAAGGACAGCCTGAACTACTCAGAGCAAGACCCTGTCTCAAAAAACAAAACAAAATCCATATTTCAGAAGTAGTTAAGCCACACAGAAGTGCTTATTATGATTCCAAATTCAGCCCTTAAGGCAGCTGATTTATACTGCTATAAACAGAGTTCCCACAGATGGTCCTTCAGAAAAGATTTCCTGTCCAAGGAATAGGCTTTGTTGGATCAGACAGGTGTTTCCTCTCTCCTCCCAGCCCCAGAAACATAATCTAAAGGTTCTCTTGTTAGTCAGACACAAAGGTGGCCTGCAATCAGTGGGCAGGGAACTAAGAACTTGTTTCTGGTCTCTGAATAAGATGGGACATTTTAAAAAGACTTACAGTGTTTTCTCAAAACAGCCTATATATCCTGCCTCATGTGCACGCTCCTTTCAGGAGAACACAAAGTCATGGTTCTCCCAGTTTCACCTATGCGGTCTTCGGGAATATGGCAAGCCTTCTAAAGGAAGTGGGTTCTTCTACAGTTCAGAAGGCATCTCCAGTTTACTTCCTTTGTTGGGGATTCCTATACTGAGGAACAGATGCTAAAGGAAACAGCACATCTCTGTGGACAAGTCCTTATCTGGTTAACAAGGTAGCATTGCCGAGCTGGGCCACCTGCACTCTCACCTGACTGAAACAAAGAAAAGACAAACATCCTCCCAATAATCCCTCCCTCCTCTCTCTTTTTCGGTTTTTTGAGACAGGGTTTCACTACATACCCCAGGCTAGCCTTGAACTCTCAGCCATCCTGCCTCAGCCTCCCAAGTGCTGAGATTGCTAGCAATACACCACCACATCTGGCCCCAACAGTTTCTTTCATGAGTGAAAGAGAAATCAGACTAAAAAGAACTCTTTAATTTATAAAATCTTTAATTAGCTTCCTTTAATCTGACTGAAATGCTTTTATTTTTTTCAAAATATAGTCATTTACTAGAAAATAGAATCAAGTGCATACGGTTTGTGTTTTTTGCAGTACTGGGGAATGAACACAGTACTTCTATATCCTCAGCCCCCACCCCTTTTTAAAAATTTTTGAGACAGGGCCTCCCTCACTAAGGTTGCCAAGGCTGGGTTTGAACTTGCAATCTTCCTTGCCTCAAATGGGACTGTAGGTGTGCCTGGATAAATTAAACAGATTTGATGGGTCAATGATGTCAAAGAAAAAGCCAATTGGTTATTTCAGATGTTCATCTCCTGATGCCACACGAGACTGGCAAAATGTTTTTCTTCACTGAAATGTAAGAAGACTAAACTGCTATTTTTGAGTTGATGCCATTTTATTTCCGAAAGGAGATAAGCAGAGAACTGGGACTTAAAAGACTGGATGGGGTACAATCTACACCAGTGTGCTCAGAGGAGGTCTCCAAGAGGAGAGGATTCTGGGGCTGACACCAGGAAGATGAGAGGGGCAACCCATACGAAGATCAGAGATGTGTCTCTAGGCAAAAGGAGGCTCGAGTGCAAAGTCCTAAGACAGGAGCAAGCTTGGCATATCCGTTTGTTTGTTTTGAGACAGGGCCTCACTATGTAGTTGAGACTGACCTGGAACTCACTATGTAGCCCAGGCTGGTCTTGAACTCACAGTGATCCTCCTGCCTTAGCCTCCCAAGGGCTTGGATTACAGGCATGCACCACCATGCCCAGCTGACTTGGCATATCTGAACAGCAGAAAGACATCCACTGTAGCTGCAGAATAGTCAGGTCAGGTCAAGGGACCCTGTCAAACAGTCACTACTGTAATGCTTCCCCTAAATAAGGAATGCCTATAGCATTTTGCAACTATGTTTCCTACAAATACATATTATCACTCTGTAAAAGAACCCCTCTCCCTATACTAGGGACTTCACACTGAGCTACATCCAATCTTTAAAAAAAAATTTTGAGACAGGTATTGCTAAGTGTGGGAGACTGCAATATTGATCATGTCCCAAAGCAGGCTGTAAGCGGTGCAGGATGTGTGAACCCAATTGGCTTGTGTGTAAGAAGTGAGTGGCTGAAGCCTACACGTTGAGGTCAGAGTAACTTGCACCTAAATTCTGTTCCCACAACTAAAACCTTATTAAAAGGACAATGCTCTAACTACAATCATATATTTTGTCTATTCTGTTCCTAATTCAAGGATGCTTTGTCTCATCTCTCACGAGCCTTCCTTACATTTCCACAGACACTGCACAACTGTACATCCTCACATGTAGTTCTGCCCTTGCATTTAGCTCACCTTTACCCCAACTGATTACCAATAAAAATCAGTGGCTTAGGGCCAGGGATTTAGGTCAGTGGGACCACACCTGCCTTGTAAGCACAAGGTCCCAACATCCATCCTGGCATCAAAAACAAAAACAAAAACAAAAACAAAAAACACAATCAGTGGTTTGGACTGGCCAGTGCTTCATTGGTTGCACCAGCATCGGTCTTTGCGGTGCCCTGCTTTCTGTCCATCTCAGTTCTGTCTTTTAGGTTTCTTTTCCTTAGGCCTGAGTTGTACACTGGGCAGGAGACTGGAACCTACTGCAGAGATTTAAAATAACGTTTCAGGGGTCTCCAGTAGCTAAGTTATTCCAGGTGGGCTCAAACCTGTGATCCTCCTGCCACAGTCTCCCAAAGTATAGGATTATAGTTGTTTCAATATGCTCAACTAGAAAGACTTTTTTGTTACTCTTCCTTAACCTACCTTAGTACTAATGAGCTTTTAAGTTATTCAATGTTTTCATACAAATACCTGCACCACATCCTCATATACATGAAATGTTTTTTTTTTCATCCATTGAACACACACACACATATACACTCACTCACTCACCAGTCCAGCCTGGCCAAAGAGCAGCTGCACAGCAGTCTTGCAGGCACCCCGCCATGTGGATGGGCATACTTGGTTCAGTACTTCTGTCACAGGAAAATCATCCCTGGGTGTGATTCCATTGTAACAGCCTGCTTCCTTGATCAGTTGTAACATTGTATGCTATAGATGGACAAGAAGAGAGTTCACACCTCAAGGCAAAGACATGTAAGACTCTAAAATTTGTAGGAATGCATTAACACAATTATCCTCAGGAAAAAAACATATTAAATACACCCAAATCCTGTCATTTGAATTTAAGAGATTTTCCCAAACACATGTATAAATACACACATGTGATTTTTCTTTTGTTTTATACTAGTAGAGACTGAATCAAGAGCCTCTGCTATGAGCTACATCCCCAGCACTTTTTATTATTTTGAGACAGGATCTCACTAAACTACTAAAGGCTGGTCTGGAACTTGTGATCCTCCTACCTCAGCTTCCCAGAGTGCTGACATTACAGGCTTTTTCTTTTCTTCTTTTTCCTCTTTTTTTTTAAAAGTACTAGAGTTTGGAACCAGGGCTTCACACATGCTAGGCAAGTGCTTTAGCACTGAGCTACATAAATAGTTACATAAATATTCTTTCTTTTGTTTAGTTTATTTTTTAAGAGTTTCCGGCTCAGTGTGGTGGCACACGCCTGTAATCCCAGCACTCAGGAGGCTGAGGCAGGAGGATTGCTGTGAGTTCGAGACCAGCCTGGGCTACGTAGTGAGTTCCAGGTCAGTCTCAACTACATAGTGAGACCCTGTCTCAAAAAACAAAAAACAAAACAAAAATAGTTTCCCTTTCCTTTTGCACCACAGAGTATTGAGCCTAGGGCCTCATGTGTGGTAGGTAAGCATTCTACCACTGATCTACATACATCCCAGCTTTTTTTTTTCCTGAGACAGTTTTTGTTAGGTGGCCCAGGTTGACCTTGAATTTGCAATCCTCCTAAGTCTCCTGAGTAGCTGGGATTAATGCAAGTGTGCCACCACAGCTGGCTACACATGTGATTATGTATACCAGGACAAAAGGTGGCAAATTAGTTGAGAAATCTGGAAATTTTGAATCTCTACAAATAAGGAATCAAAATTACCTGTTAAAAGTAAATAGCAGCGCCAGGGATTTAGCTCAGTGGTGCCGTGCCTGCCTTGCAAGCACAAGGTCCTGAGTTTGATCCCTGGTACCGGAAAAAACCCAAACTTAAAGTAAAACAGTAAATATCAATTAAAACCTGAACTTCATTTTGGATGATCAAGTGATCAGGTAAGCAGGCTCCAGAAATATCTTATAGTGTATTAGTGTATTTTAAAACCTTTTAGAGTAAACATTTGAATAAAAAATATGAATAAAACTTGCTTGGGATATGTCTTATTTAAAAAGTCACCAGAGGGCTGGACGCATAGCTCAGTGGTAAAGCACTTGCCTAGCATGTGTGAAGCTCTGGGTTCAAACTTCAGCAGCACAAAAAGGGAAAAAGTTTCCAAAGGGTCTGCTTTTAGACATTACTGAGGAAGGCCAGAGTCTTCTTCGTTGGCTCCCAATTTGTGTGTGTTGTGGGTGGTGGTGTACTGGGGATTAAATTCAAGGGTGCTCTACCACTGAGCTACACCCCAGTCTTGTGTTTTTTAAATTTTGAGACAGGGTCTTCTTAAATTGCCTAGCTGGATTTGAACTTGCAACTTTCTTGCTTCAGACTCCCAAGTAGCTGGTATTATCAGCACACACCACTACACCCAGCTTTATTTTGTTTTTTATATTACATTCTTCACAAGCCATTAAATTCCCCTTAAGAACTCTTTTTCCAAGTTCATGCTTGGTTGCTGGAACTCCATGGAAAGCTACCGTCTTAAGTTTCAGATTGTCGGCGGCGGACTCGTTAAAGGAGACACCCTTCAGGAAGTGCGATCCTATCTGCACAGGGACCGTGGGAAGCTCACACTGCATGGGCTGCGGGGGTGTCTGTCTCCGCCCAGTCTGCTGGGCTTCCGCCTCACTGCAGCAGCCCTGGAAAACAATTGGATGGGAGAGGATTTGACCCACAGCTCAAGTGTCAAAACATTTGGTTTATGCTGCACCATGCAAACATCTCCCACAGTTCCCAAGAGCTATCAGATAGAAAATCATACCTGCAAACTTGCTTCAATTGCCTTTGGATTCAGGTGGAAGCCAGCCTTCATTGCATATTCACAGTGGCCTAAACTTTCCAGAGCTATCTTATATGCCTGCAAAGAAATTATTTTTAAGAACTAAGGTTACAGAGTAGTTTCTAAGTATGATAAGATCCAATGAAAATAGAAATTTAAAATTTTTACACTTATTAAAATATTTAAGGCCAACTGCTACATTATCCTTTCTTATTGGTTCAATATCCCAACTTTAATCCCTTCCCTCATTTGTATATTTATATGCCAAATTTTTGCAGGGGAGGGGGTACTGGGAATCTATCTCAGGACCTTGCACTTACAAGGCAGGTGGCCAGCACCACTGAGCTAAAATCCCTGGCCCCTCAATATTCCAATTTTGAAAACTTACTTGCAAAGCAGTGTCGATTTTTATGTTCAGTTCTTTTAGCTGGTGCTCAGGAATTGCTGCACTTTGAGAACAGAAGAGCTGTTGAACTTCAATTCCTGCCAGGCAGCCATCACAGCCTCTTTCTCTTAATCTAGATGTTGCCTACAACACAAATAATGACTGGTAAATACATGAGGATGTTACAGTTACTAGCAAAATTAAAACAACAAAACCCTTTAGTTAAAACAAAGCACAAAGACATTTTAACACTGGATATAAACTAGAGATTTTGGATCGTCCATAGCAAGAAGTGAGGACTGGGGATTGAGGTCAGTAGCACTGAGCCTGCCTCACAAGTACAAGGTCCTGAATTCAATTCCAGTACCAAAAAAAAAAAGCAAGAAGTGAGCAGTGAGAAATTTTGAAAGTCTAAGTTAACCATTTTGAAGAGAAAACAAACCTGATATAGCATTACCTTATGTTAGAAACTGGGGGTGGGGTGGAAGATCAGCATGCCTGTTGTTTTTTACATATTTAAAACATTCAAGTAGGGCTGGGGATTTAGCACCATGCCTGCCTTGCAAGCGCAAGGTCCTGAGTTCGATCTCTGGAACCCCCTCAATATTTTTTTCCATGTATTTCTAATTTCCCTGATTCAAAAGGACAGATTACCTAGAATATTGGTATTTGGTGTTTGCAGAATTAAAAAAAGGAAGAACACATAAAGCTGAGTGTTCCTATGCACCAAAGAAGTAAAAAGCCACAATACAGAACAATAAAAAAGCAACAATGAACACTAATGAAAGAACAGAGCTTCTAGCCGGGCGTGGTGGTGCACACCTGTAAGTCCAGTACTCGAGGATGAGGCAGGAGGATTGCTGCGAGTTTGAGACTAGCCTGGGCTACATAGTAAGTTCCAGGGCAGTCTGAACTACACAGTGAGACCCTGCCTCAATCCCCCCCCCAAAAAAAAACGGAGCTTCTGAAATACATACAAGAAACCACTTACTGTTCAGCTATTAAGTTTGTTAAAGCATATAGGTTAAAGCAAGACAAAAAAACAAGAGAAACTAAATTGTGTCATGATGAAATGTAGGCATATGTAGGTCAAGGCCAGAAGACAAGGCAGAAAAATATTTGATTCATTAGATGGGTGATGAGATCCAAGATTAACTCAGTTTTTATTTTTGTTGTAATTATATGTGTGAAACAAATAACTTTTTTGGGGGGTACTGGAGACCTTGTGCTTGCCAGGCAGGCATGGCAAACGTTTTTAAATAGCTACTTTATGTTTTTCGAGGCCAGGGTAGGGATTAAACTATTTACCAAATTCATAGGCCTATATGAAAACTACTCCCAGGTCCAATGCTATAAAGTTTCAAAGCTTTAGTTTCACAAATTAATTAAATATCACTCCAACCATTTCCCGAATCCTAAATGTGTTACAGTTTAAAATCACCTCAATTTTTTTTTTTTTTTTAAACAGACTTGCAATGCTGCCCAGGCTAACCTGAAACTTGCTGTGCAACCCAGACTGACCTTGAACTCAAGATTCTCTTGGCTCAGCCTTTCTGGGGTTATAGGGTTTTGCCAGCTTCCATGTGAGTCTGTAGCAGGCTGTCAGCCCAATACTTAACCCATAAAGTGTTAACTATTGCCAAATACACCTAAGCCTAAAACCTGATCCCAGGAGTCCTGGAGCTGTTAACCTCATGAGCAGAAAGATAAACAAAACACTGAATTAAAAATGGAGAAAAATACACTGAGGGAAGTAAAACACTGTAACAGGGAGCACTTGAGACACTGAGAAAAAGGCATTTGGACTGAGAGTTAAAGAAGGTAGTCAAAGGAAGTGTGTACATATGGGTGGGAGGAGTGAGGGTGTGTCAGCATCAGCAAAAAAGTCCCAACACAGGCCAAGGAACCTAGGAGAAGAATGAGACATATCCATAGAACTAGAGCCCAGGTGAGCAAGGGGAAAGGGGGCCTCAGATAAGGCTGGCAAATAAGCCAGGAGCCAGACATGGCAGGACAATGCAGGTCATGGTGAGGGGTCCCCACTTTACCCTAAGGGAATGAGAGGCAACACTGTTTGATTTTAAAATAAAGGACTACACAACAGGGAGGGGAGAAGAGAGTCCAGAGAAGTAAGAGTACCCTGAACCAGGACAGTGACAGTGGACAGTGGAAAGAAGAGATATGAAAGTATCTTGGAGGTGGGACTTGCAGGACTTTAAGAACGGAACTGACGTAGACTTCACAGAAAGACTGAAGGATAAATCTGAGTTCTTGAATCAAGGACCCAGTATACGATGGCATCACTTGTTAGTAAGGGGAAGATCTGTAGAGAAATAGATATATGGGGAAAAGCTAAAATTGAGACAGCTAAGGAAAGCCAAGGTGGGCAACAGCCAAATTCAGGGCCCAGAGCCCACCCGAAGTGGCTGCTCACATATACCGAGGCATCCCCCATGATAGGGTAGTCTAAGACCCCCTAAGGACAATCCCTAAGGAGAAGAGAACTGAGAAATCAGCCTTGAGAAATGCACATTCAGAGACTGAGGAGGAGAGGCTAGGAACGATGATAAAGAAAGGATGGACCAAGAAGAGAGAGAATAACCAAGAAAGCCTAGTTCTTGAGCTGGGGAAGGTGGTAGGAGTGGGGAGTCCCAGCAACTCAGAGGTTGAAGGAGGACTGTTTGAGCTTAGGAGTTCCTGGACAGCCTGGGACATACACGAAGACCAACTGCACGTGCAAGCCAGCCTGATCTTACCCTGGGCAACTTAGCAAGATCTTGTTTCAAAATTTAAGCAAAAGGACAGTAATTTGGGGAGGTACTAGTATAAAGGCTCTGGATTCAATCTCTAGTACGAGGAGGAAAAAGAGAACGTAGAAAGAAAAAAGATGATGATGAAGAAATACCATTCTTAGATACCACAAAAATAAATATGCATTTCCCCCTGGTAAATACTGTGAGTTGCTGACTGGAGTTAAAGGCCTCCCTGAAAACACAGAAGGGGGCACCAGTGACTTTGACAAGAGAAGGCATATTCTTGTGGAGGACGGGAAGCCAGATTTCTGCAAACTGAATGAAGTCATTTACATAAAGTATTTTATTGTTTGTTTTTGAGACAAGGTCTCTTTACGTAGTCCAGGCTGGCCTTGAACTTGCATTGATCGTACTGCTTCAGCCTCCAGAGTCCTGGGATTATAGGTGTGCACCACCAACCCGGCTACCTAGTTTTAAATTGTGCAAGAGAACACATCATACCATGCATGGACATATGCATATGGCAAAAATATGCACAAAAGTCAGACTTCAAATTCAAAAGGTTTATCTCTAGAGAGGAAAGGACGCAAAGAGATCATAGAGAAGTACAAGAGGAATTCAATTTCATCTGCAATAATGTTTCTGTTAAACACAAAAGGCATGAAGCAAAGCTAAGATGTGGCACGAAATTAAGATTCATCTAGCAAAGCTAAAAGGAAGACATGCTGATATATGTGACATGTTCTATACACTCGAAGTACTTCATAATAATTACATTTTTCAACAAATGGAAGGTGAGAAAAAAGGTGGACAACTCCTCTGTTCTTGGTTGTGAAAAAGAGAAGAGTAGGGCATCATAGCAGGGTGGATTTTTCTGTCGGAACCAAGTTTGAGTGCTGGTAGGAACAGGCTGAGGATGAAGGAGATAAATCACAAGGTCAAAAGAAGCTAGGGCCTCAGGGGTAGAGACACAGTGGGGTTATAGCAGGTCCTGGAGAGGAGGGAAGGGGAGCTCCCCTGTTATCACCAAAGGGAAGGAAGAACAGATGGTTATGAGGTGGGGCCCTGGCCAGAGCAAAGGAAAGGACAGATTGGGGTGGGTGGAAGAAAAGTCAAGGCGAAGGGGCCAGAGTACCACTAGATGGTTTCACATGTGGTGGGTTCTCAGGATGAATGATGACAGCAGGCAGAGCAGAGTAGACTGACCAGGAATCATGGTTCCTGAATGTGAGCAGCATAGTCAGAAGGCTGGAGCTCAGCAGCCAGGAGGACACAGAGGGGTAAAGACAGATGAGGAAGGTCCGAACTATCACCAGCCATCTAGGAGGAAGCAAACAGGGCCCACCCCCAATACACCTCTACTTAGCATTTCAGGGACCTCTGACAAATAGCAAGAAAGCCTGAAGAGGGGCCGGGGAAACTGCAAGAATCTGAGTTCAATCCCCGGTACAAAAAAAAAAAAAGTCTTTATCCTCAGTACCATGAAAGAGAGATCAAAATAAACATGCAAATAGGGATGGGGATGACACACACACACCAAAAGCAAATTAAAAAGAAATGACAACAGGAGAGAGGAGTAGCATAAAATTGAAATAATAAGAAATTAGAGATGTATAGTATTAAAATGTGAAAAATCATGTTTTAAAAAATTGATTAAAAATTTAATTAAAGGCGATTTAAAAAAATCTCATACGATGAAATATACTGCTAATTTATTTTGGAATGGTTCAAATTAGTTCAAATTGTGTAGTAAGTCAATACGCTATTCCTCAAGCATAAATCACCTTGTACTCTGAAATGGAACAGTAAGTCCTAGGGAAAATCTGTTTGGAAGCCATTATCTCTTCCGGGTTCATTTTCTCCCTCCTCCCCACTCCCTCCCTCCCCCCATTTATTTCTCTCCTTCCTCCCTCCCTTCCCCTCTCTCTTCCCACCTCCCTTCCTACCTCCCTCTCTCCCTTTTCCTGGTACCAGGGATTGAACTCAGGACTTTGCATGTACCAGGCAGGTGTGGCATCACTGAGCAACATCCCTGGCCCTATTTTTTCCTTATCATGCTAGAAACAGAGTTCTCAATGTCTACAAGGCAGTGTTTTTTTCACTGATTGCAGGAGAGATCTCCTTAAGAGAGACTTTTTAAAACGGGCGTGGTGGCGCATTTCTGTACTCCCAGCACTTGGGAGGCTGAGGCAGGAGGACTGCTGGGAGTTCAAGACCACCCTGGGCTACACAGTGAGTTCCAGGTCAGTCTCAACTACATAGTGAGACCCTGTCTAAAAAAAAAAAAGAGAGAGAGAGACTTTTTTAAAAGAGCTACTCTTGATTTGCTTATATTTTAAGTTTAAATTCTTCTGGCTGCAGAAAAGGACTGCAGAAGGCCATAGCAGTGACTACAAAACGAATCCCTTCTGGACTCCTCCATCCATGGAGCTCAGGGACAGCCTGTCACTCACCATTGTAGCAGGTCCCCTTAGTCAGGAGGTTGTGTGAGAAATTAGGTCACCAGGAGACAAGAAACCCCACTAATTCATCTGTTGTGCTGGGAAACAGCCACTCTTTCAAAAGATTAAAGACTTCTTAGAGTCAAATAAAGCAATACTGAGGATGTGCTCAAATCACATGTGAAGCAACTGACAAATGCGGACCCAGGCAAAGTTTATCTAAGAATCTTAAAAAAAAAAAAAAAAATCTAAAGAATCTTTAAAAAACAGTGATGCCAAGCACATCTAAATTGAGTGATTTGGCTATCAAAAAGCATAAAATGCCCTCTGTCCACTGAGATTTACCCCGGCATGGTTGTAGCTTTGGGGCCTGGCAGTCTATCCATCTGCTAAACACTCCTGGCTTGCCTACCTAGCTGCCTGACTAAGCACTGGCTCTCTCCAGTCTGCTCCACCCTTTCCTGACTTAGGCACCAGCCTTCTCCCTGCCCCTCTCTTCCCAGAAGCTTTTCTGTACCACTCCCACTCGGGAGCAGAGCCATTCTTCTGGCTCCTGTACGTCTCCACCACCCTTCACCCTGTTTTTGTAACCCTTGCAGTAGGCTGTGGGTAGAGGCTGTCAGCTCAGTGCCTGGCATAGGCCTGGCATAAAAAGGGCATTCACAAGGACAGTGACTGTTACATGAATGAGTAGGCTAATGATAAAGATTTTAAAACTTACATTTCTAAATAAAATGGCTCTTTTGAGAACCAAAAGGCAAAAGCCCCCTGGAACCTCTCCCATTTGAACACAGGGCCCAATCTTCCCGGAGCCAGTTACCTCAGCAGCCCCCCGCCAGGAACGCACAGCTTCCTCTAGTTCGGGTGTGTGACCCATGCCAGATAAGCCACCACCACCGCTGTTCTTTTTCTCTGGTACAACCACCTCAGCAAAGCAAGAGTGAGCCACCGGCTGGACTTTCTGTAATGCGTGAGTCAAAAACTGGAAATGGACTTGCACCACTGTCAAGAAGCATCGCCCTAATACCTGTAAAAACAAGAGAGCCAGGGGTTTTAGGTTGCAGGATGCTGATGGATCAGCACAATGAATTCGCAACTATCAACAATTTCAGAGTTATGAAATCTCACAAAATTAGAAACTCCTCATACTTTAGAAGGAACTGCCTTTGTTCTCATATTTGAACCTAGGTGTCCTGATGCCTAGAAGTCACAACATTTCAACAAAGCAGCAAACTTTCAGGTTCATACGGGCATTCCAACTTCACATCAAGCGTCCTTGCTCCTTTTTCACTCGTTCACTCTGGCTCTGATTATCTTGCAGCTCCTGCTGAACCAGAGCAGTCCACAATCCCAATTATGTTCACCCAGTGTTCAAAAGATGAAGAAAAAGCCATGTGATTAAAAATCTGAAACAAAGTTAGTTTGGCTTGTAAGAAAACATCTCACTGGAATTGGAATCCAAAGGTACTGGTTACTCAGTGTTAGTACAGTTATTAACATAGTTGTATGTTTTATTTCCAGCCTTATGAAACAAAGCTGACAGACCACTCTTCTAGAGGTCAACAAAACATATTAGGCAACCCTATTCATCAGTATGTAGAAACCCACTAAACTAATACACATTAGTAATTGATTGGTTAATAGTCCAAGTAGAAACTTTTTTTTCCCAATACTGGGAATTGAACCCAGGAGCACTTTATCACTACGGTATACCCCAGACTTTTTTTTATTGATACTGGGGATCAAACTCAGGACCTTGCACTGTGAGGCAGGCACAGTGCCATTGAGCAACATCCCCAGCTATCTCAGACCTTTTTATTTGAACTTTTTTTTGGTACTGGAGATCGAACTCAGGTCCTTATGCTTGTGAGGCAGGCGCTGGAACCACTGAGCTAAATTCCCGGGCCCAGACCTTTTTATTAAGACAGGGACTTGCTACATTGGCCAGGCTTACTTGGAACTTGTGACCCTTCTTCCTTAGTCTCTAGAGTAGCTGAAATTACAGACATGTGTCCCTGTACAAGGCTGGAAACTCATTTCTTTAAAAAACAAAACAAAACAAAAAATAATATAATAATACATACAAAATTATGTACTTTAAACATTTTAAGACATGAAAGTACATTTCTCTGGCAACCTTTTGAGATCAGTTGTTCTCTGACATTGCTACTCTGTTTTCTTTCTCGACTTAACCCAGCTACAATCTATTCTCTATGATTTTCTCTTTCTTTCTTCTTCTTCTTCTTCTTCTTTTTTTTTTTTTTTGGTACCGGGGATCAAACTCAGGATCTTTCATTTGCCAGCCAGGCAAATATAAATCTGATCTAAATCACTGGCCCTATTTCTCTTTCTTTAGAGCAATACTGTACTTGCTATTTACAAAGCAATTTTGAGCAGAAATCTTCCAGATTACTGACATTTTTTCCTAATCTCTTACAGTAGTTTTGCCCACACCAAATTTGACAATACCAACAAAAACCTTTTGTAACTCTTTTATCACATTCCACCATATTTGGATTTTTTGTGCATGGAAGGTATTTTATTTATTTTCATTTGCTTACATAGATTATTCATAAAAAGGGTGCTTTACACAAAGTTAGAAATTCATGCAGCTGGTAGGAGCAAACTTAAAAAAGGCCCGTGGCTGTAAATGTTCAGAACTGTTTTTATCCTCCATCTCACCCCGCCTGTCCATGACTAAGGGTTTAACCCAGGGAGTGCTGAGCTACATCCTAACTCTTTTTCAATCTTATTTTGAAATAGTTTCTCACCAAGTTACCCTAAGTTGTCCTGGAACCTGTGATCCTGCTACCTCTGCCTCCTGACTAGCTAGGATTATAGTATGTACAGATGGGATGCTTCACTCACTTGACCACTGCTTGCTTGCTGTGCATCCTGGTTTCTAACAGGTTGTCAATGACCCTGTACGATCTAGTTGCTAACAGACTGTCTCCCCTCTATACAACCCGATATAGTGCAGGGCTGGTAGCACTGAGACCCGGCACAGGACAGAATCTCATCTTAGATGACACAAGGTGAGGGGGTCTCAAAGCTCCAGACATGCAGACTAGGGAGGAGAGGCACAACTGGCTCCACAGGGATGGATATGCTTTCTTCCTCCCCCTCCTTAAATCTTGGCAAGTGATGACAAAGGGAGAAGAGGAGGAGAAAGTGAAGATGGTATACACATTCTCACAGCTTCTGACCAATAAAAGCGAGGTATTCATTCATGCAATAAATGTATTACTATGTGAATGTCTAATACATACAAAGCACAAAAAGTCTAGGATCCTACAAGACAGAGAATGAGCAAGTCCCTAAACTCACGAGGGTACAAGTCTAAAAACAGGTATATGAGGTCAGGTGCTACCGTAGGATGAACATCACAGGGCAGGTAGATAAGCCAAAGGCTGTCTGATGATATAACCAAGGGAAAAGAGCTACATTCCCTTTCCTGAAAGTAAAAATTCTGAGAAGCAATGCTGAAGGCCTGAGGTAGGGCCCAGAATAGGACACTCTTCCAATAATGCTGCTCTGGGTCACACATCCACCTCTGAGGAAGGACGGGGTTGGGGCAGGTCCTCTTTACCGTACAGTGGTGGGAGGTGGAAAGGGGAGAAGGCTGCTAAAGGAATAAGTGAGGAAAGAGATGCCAGGCAGCTTTAATAGGTGTTTTTATTGTGTTGTCTCTACCATTTACTACACATTTGACCTTAGATGAGGCATTTAGTCTGTTTCTTCTCTATAAATAAAGAATGATAATAAGAGCTTAGCTACCCAGCACCTCCCTCTTCCTACCCACAATGTGTAATCTTTCTACCTCTCATCAACCCAGATTATAACAAAATATATATTGTAAATAATTCATTAAAAGCCAATCAAACCAAGTCATCCTGAGCCTTAGAAATAGCTGTTTCAATGACTATCTGCTCTAAAATTTTATGCAAAATAACAGATGTAAAATATAACCTTCCTGAAATGACAGAGCTCTGTCTTCAGCTTGTCTCTGCCCACTCTTTCTGTCTTACTCCTTAGTCTGGCTCTTCTCCTGTGACAGACCTCCCCCTTCTTGAACCAGGGATGAGTCCTTGGGATCTTCCTGATACAAATTTAGGAAGAGCATGACAAACCCAGGGCCACAGACAGCTATTTTTTCCTTCATATGGAAAGTTTCCGGGACTATGGGGTTCCATAGGGTTACAGGACAGCTGTGGTAGGCTGGGGGAATGGATGAATGGAATGGTCAAGGACAGTTATTTAAGGTGAAAGTAACATTGAAACTATCAACAGCTACCATTTATGAAGTGTTTAAGCCATACCAAACACTTTACACATGGTAAAGTGTGAGCATTTCATCCATTTTATAGATGACAACGCTGAGATTTAAAGAGATAAAGCTAGGTGCAGTGGCACATACCTGTAATCTCAGCTATTTGAGATCCAGAGGCTGAGGCCGGAGGATCACAAGTCCAAGGCCAGCTTGGGCAATTCAGTGAGATTCTGGTTCCCTCCCCCGCAAATAAACCTAAAATGGACTGGGGATATAAAGCTCAGTGGCAGAGTAGCTCTGTGTTGGATCCCCAGTACTACCAAAAAAAGAAAAAGAAAAGGAGAGGAGGGAGAGAGGGAAGAGAGAAGAGAAGGGGAGAAGGAAGAAGGGAGAAAGACAAAGGAGAAGGAAGCGGGGGAGGGAGGGGAGGCACTATGAAGCAGGTAATAAGTAAGGATCCGATAATACCAGGTCTATGTGATTCCAAAAAGCCTGCACCAGGCTGCCCTGTCTTCACAGGACAGATCCAGGGGTAGACACAATAGAGGATGGATACCAGAGAAGCAGCTCTGCATTACAGGCTCCACTATAATAGAATCCGACTTTCCAGGAATCTCTGATGTACTGAAGAGCACATCGTGACCGTCCCAGTCCACTGTACAGGCATCACATCTGCTGCCACAGATGTTGTCCATGTGGATATAACCAGAATCCTTTTTCTTCTTGGCGACTTTGCTATTTTATTCAGATTGTAAAACATTTTAATTTAAGGTCACCCTATTTTAATTACCAAAAGACTATCCTTTCTATATCACCACAGTTGTTGAAGATCAAGCTATTTGTCAAATCTACCTTCATAGAATATTTCAACATTTAGTTTTTGTTATTCCTCTTCAAGGCTTAGGGCCTAATTCAGCCCTAATACCTGTTTATGACTGAAATTGTGGATGCCTATCTTATTTCCCAAAACATTTTATGATTCTTCAAATTGACATGAGTAATTTCTAAGTTCACTGTTCTGCCTAACTTCAATCAACAGTTCATCTTTTTCATTCTCATGATCACACCAAGAAGTAAACTCATCATATATAAATTATTTCTGTTCAGTCTCAACTATACAGTGAGACCCTGTCTCAAAACAAAACAAAAAACACCCCCCCAAAAAACAAAACAAAACAAACCTTGTTCTTAATGAGCCTCTTTTGTCCTTATAATTCCAGAGTCATTACATAATGATTTACCCAACAGACCAGAATGTGATATGAAGACTTAAATGTGTCTCCAGAGAAACAGAATATAGTAGACCGTACCTATATTACAGAAAATGCTTATGCAGATTATACTACAATATAAAAATGTAAAAAACAAGTTTACTGAAACTAACACGTAAAAGTCTAAAAAAGTGGGGCTCGTGGTGCATATCTGTAATCCCAGCACTTAGGAGGCTGAGGCAGGAGGATTATAGTGAGTTTAAGGCCATCCTGGACTACACAGTGAGTTCAAAGACAGCCTGAACTACACAGTGAGACCCTATCTCCAGGGGAAAAAAAAAAAGTCTAACAAAAGATGGCTAAGGGTGTAGCTCTGTGGTACTGTACTTGCCTAGCATCCATGATACCCTGAGTTCAATCCTCAAAACCACAAACTCCTAACAAAAGAATCACAAAAGCTTCTTTAGTGGAATTCTATATTAGAACACAGGGGAGCCCCCAAACTATGTAAACAGAAGAACTAGGGAAGGAAATAAAGCTAGTGCA